AACAATGTCGTATCGCCAATTGTTAAACAGCTAACATATGGTAGTACAAATTTTGTAATTTTTCTTCATATGTTTATTTATATACGTGTGTCTTCATTCAGATTTTTCTTCCAATTGTTACTTAACGGAGTGTAAATCGAATCACATATGATGACATAAGGGGGGCAACTCCCCTGAAAGGAATTCTGATTTGTAAACGATTGTGAGCTTTTGTAATTTTTATTAATATTTTTGAATTAAATTATTAATAAGTGAAATTGTATTTAATTTGTGTAAAATGTAAGAAAATGTTATCACCTAAATTTAATTAAGTAGAATAATGAAATGTTCATTTTTTGTCACAAAGAAAAAAATATTGATCCGCGCAGTGTGGAGTGAAAATTCCGCACTATGCGGAGTTACTACTCCGCGCTAACGGAGGTGTGTTCCAAGTGTTTCTTTTAATTGTACAACCTTTTTTTCTTGATGATATCCCTCTACAGATAATGTTTCTGAACCACAAATTCAAGTTAAGTATAATATTATGGAAGTGCCAATTTCTCTCCCTTACTTGAAGCCTCCAGCAAATAAATCAAATCCTAAGCAAGGAACCAGTAAGACCGTGTATGATATAAATGTTACTTTTGTATATATTGCCTTACATATTGTTACTTCATGTTCGAATAAATCAACGTTCAATTCTTTATTATAAGTGTAGTCATGCTTTACGTATTGTTTCTAATTATCGTATTTTTTTTCTTTTGTTTGTTGTATATAAAGGAATATTGTGAGGTATTTTCAGTAAGTATGCAATTTCCATTTCTAAAGAATCTTCCCAATGCATTTCCCCTCACTTTAGAAACCCAGAATCCACTTTTCCATACAATCTTCTCGGTTTTATTCTTATGTTTTTTCTTTTGTTTGATGCATATTAAGGAATACTAAAATGGTGGTGAAATACCATGAATCTCATTACCCTTTCATTAGCTGCTATTTTGTTCTTTATGTAAACTTCCTCAATATATGGTAGTGAAATGCTATGAGTCTACTAGGGAACTCAACGGGTTTATTGTACCATTTAGTAGAATCTTGAATCCTGTTTATGGCAGTAAGATTAAACCTTTGATAACATTGCAAAATGTCATGTTACAACTGATTTTGTTAATTGACTTTAATGTGTTTTCTCGACATACTAAAATTTGACCTTATGCTTGTGTAGAGCATTTTATACTTATAAGTTTGGATGCAACTTGGTTATGTTTTCAGTTTTTCTGTTGAAAATAAAATAAAGAATTTTCTAAGATGAAACGTATAACTTTTTTTCTTTAATAACACTAGTCTAAGTATTATTTTCTGAAACATTATCATAAGTTTTTTTAGTACACGTTGAATTGAACACAAACCAATGCTTGTGAGTTTTAGACTTTTGGCATGAGCCCCGAATAAACAGATTTATTTTTTGCATTTGTATATTTGAGAATGATGATGGTTTTGATCTTTCAGTTTAATCATCAAATTTCTAATTCCCCACAAACATACACAATTCTTATTCTAGAGGTCTCGAATTATTTCGATGCTAAGACGGAGGTAAATGAAGAAAATGAGACCAAAGAAGATGAAGAAAAAGAGGCTCGAGGTATTTCTCATTGATTTTGATTTATTTTTAGTAATATTAGATTCTCGTAGATGATAGTTGTATATGTACCGATAATTGTATTTTGTTCTCTCGGGCATTTTTTGATATCTATTTGAACTTTATCAATCCTTTGGTAATACTAAACATATACAATTTTCATAAGAACATTACACTTAGTGCCTTTTTCAGCCTCATTTTTAGTGTAGAATGTATTTTGAAATAGTAAATTAATGAATAATATGTGGTTAAAATGAAGGAAACGTTTTAGGTTGCGTGTAATTTTTGTCGATGGATTCTTCTCGGTTTTCAATTTAATTCTTGTGATTATAAAGAAAATGTGTATGTGTAGGTAGCCTAGAGAGATCCCGTAAATAAATTCTTTCTATTTTGGACAATTATTATGTGTATAAATACATTGTTCATAGTCAATTTGTAAAGAAAAAAAATTTGAAGATCACACATGTTGAATTCTTAAATTGTGTTGTATTTTACTATAGGAAGTTATTTATGAAGGTTTTACATAAAAATACAAATAATTGTTTGGAGTTCCTCAATTCTGAGGAAAGTCAAGTTCGTTATAGATTACCACCACACACAAAGGAGACAATGGAGAGTAGCTTACATTTTTCAGTTCAATTGTTGTCCCTCCACCCCGTACCGACCAATTTTTTACATGTTACCGATAAGAATTCTATCTGCACATCAAGAAAATTTTTGGGTTTATATGTAATATTATTTTATTGATAGAATGTGTGGCTGAAATAAAGAAAGAGAATGGAAAGAAAATTGGTGTCAAACAGGGGCAAAAAGTATACAAGTCAAACTTATAACAAATGCATAATATTATGAATTCTCTATTGTAAGCAATTTTGTTTGTTACTATTTTCATCTGGTAGCCTTGCCCTAAAAACCATTTTTTGTCATATATATGTGTATATGTAGAAAGAGAATTTGGGTAGAGGAAATATTCTCTGTTTACTAGCTTACAACTAACCAGTCGTATCTTATTTCTTTGATCATAGAGTAGTTGAAAAGATGTTGTCCACTGGATGTCACCACTTTTTACAGATATAGTTGGGGATTGTAGAGAAGTGTTGGTCTTGAATAGTTTGTTTTATGGCACATAAACGTTCCTTGGCATGTGTTCTTGTATGGAATGGGTCAAGTATTAGTGTTTGTTTAATAACTTCGTGCATTTTTATTGCTTGATCTCTCTGTCTTTGGATCCAAAATCCTGTAAGTAGCCTTCCAACTTGGCATCAAAGGCCATCAATCCTATTGTAAGCAAACTAATGCTTACTCTTTCCTCTATTTTATTCATCATTATAATGAAGCTGTAAGGTGCATCATATTATAGTTATTATTATCTAACAGGTAAATAAGCTTAGTTCACATACATTGAAGAGTGGAGGCATTCGTGGCAGTTTTGCATTTTTTCCTTTTTATGATGTTTTGACGGTATGGAGTGCTAACATATTTTTGAGAAGAAAGTTATCGTGTAACACACTCCATTCTATTAATTTACTTTAGTCTAGCGTAACATTTCAGTATAAATCGACAGAAGAATCATTAGACAATATATCATATGTAAATTTACTCTGTTAAATAAAGTTCATTTTGCTAACTTCATTGAATGTATAAAAAATAACAAAACCCGTGTATTGCACGAGCCAAAACTAGTTTTTGAAAAAGAGTGAGTATCTAAATGGTCACGAGAGAGGCAACAATAGGCTTAAAGAGGGCACGAGAGCGGAAGTGAGAATGACGCCATTGGTACGGGTGAATAAACATGGGAAAATGACAGTTGGAACCCTTAAACTTTGTAAAACACGGTGCTTAGACCATGTCTCAATGTTTTAACCTAATTTTAATTTTTTTAATTAAAATTTATTCTTACTAAGAGCAGAGTGCTTGTAAAATCCCTGAAATTCGAATCGAGGATTCCCTCCTAAGTGCAGAGTGCTTGTGCGGATAATTGCACCAAGTATTCCATTTTACCATGTAATTACCATAATACTGTCTCTTTTTCAAATTCATTTTCACTGAATTTCAATTTAGATCCCATTAAACTTGAATTTCCACTCCCTCGGCCTCTCTATCTCTTGTTTCTTTTATCTCTCATTGTCATGGCTCTCCATCTCAACAACTCCATCCAACCCGGACGACATTACCAAAATTTGGTCACGGTTGCTTCCTTTGTCACATAGATCTAAAATTTTCATTTTTGTACCATCTCCACCTATGTGATTCTTTACCTCGAATTTGTGATTTGATTTGTTGGATTTTCAATTTTTTTAAGTACAATTTTAAATTCAAGAACGAATGACATGGTGATGGGAGGTAGTGGTAGTGAGAGAGAAACAAGATGACACACAAAGTGGTGTATGTTATTGTGGTGGTGTGGGGGAGGGTGGTCTAGGATTTGAATGTTGGGTCGGGTATTTGTTATGTTGATGTTGTAGTTTGACATGGACATCGATGGTAGTGGTAGCTGGTATCAATGGAGGTGGTCATGATGTTAGCAGAAATGGTCGGTATTGAGCGTTAATGATAGCGGTGACAGCAACATCATACCACAATAAGTGGCACATTTTACGGAAGTCACAGAAAGTGTAGCGATACTTGCGATAATTACCCTAAGTTTCGTATTACTGGAAAACATAACGCTAGTGGTAAATCAAAAGATGTACCTAAGGAGTTACACCCCCCTCACATTTTTTATTTAAGTGGGTCCCACCCCCAATGTGAGGGGGGTGTAACCCCTTAGGTACGCCCCTATGTACCATTATCAAAACCCTAATGAGAATTCCGTTAACTTTGCCCAGATGATATTTTAATACAAGGACACTACAGTCATTTTGCATCCCATCGAAGAGAAATTTTGACAAGAAGCAAATTTCGCGAAGATTCAAGACACTAGAAAATATTGCCTACCGGGTTACAAAAAATTCGAGTTGAGGATCATAAACACTCCTGAAGGAGCTATAGCTCTAACATTGTCAACCACTCGTGATGGTTTTATCTGTTCGAAATCGATCACCCGATAGCAAACTCTTATCGAGAATGAAATCCATATCCATGCTTCGCGATTTAATCAGAAGTATCAAATATCCATGAAAATGAAAACGATAAGAGGCAAGACATTCAACAATAGTTGCATCAGATTACCATGATTTTTCTGTTGGCTGAGATAAATGAATCTTCAATTACATTGGAAATATACATACATTTTAGGCAAATATTTCTCATTCACGAGTATGTAAATTTGTTTAATTGACTGAAAAGTAAAAAGAAAAGGAGGCCCTTAAAGGTGAGAAGGGGACGACATCGAGCTTCACACAAATATATTAGAAAGATTTCCAATTGGGGCAGTTAGTGTATAAGTTTAGATACCAGATGTATTGCACTCCTCCAGCAATTTAAGGATACTATGTTCTGGGGCACTGACTGATGGTAGAATTACTCGATTAGGAGGGTGTCGAGGTTTTATTCCTGTAGTACTCTCAGACGATAATGGGGTTTGTTCCTGCATGACCGGCAGGTCAGCTCGCCTCTGGACAACTGAAGACACTCGCTCCTTCCATATTCTTCCATCCTGATTATCAAAGAAATAAAGTTAGTCATAAACTTTCCCCTTTCTTTTATCTCACACACTGCAAGTCAGAATGGAAATTGTGGTTCACAGTAAAACCTATGAATTATAATTTGAAATCTAACGGTGAAAAAGGACCAAAAAGTATTGGTGCTAGTCTTTTTTCCCCTTATGTTGCTAAGAAACACAGATAAATATGTTTAACCAATCCAACCATCAAAACTCATATTGGGGGGTCGCTGAAGCTCAAAGGTGGATTTTGCTCTCTTCAACTTATTTAAATTCTCTTGCATATTCGTTTCCTAACTATATGTCTCATAATCACTTCCGATGAACCAACACAACAATCCTAACAAAACCATTAAAGCATACTACTCTATAAACATTCGCATATGCCTTGAACGAAAATATAGTTCTCACAACATAGCCTTTGTCCCAAATTGTATACTTCTCATTGTCCCAGGGGTGACTCAACGTTCCTAGAGCAAAATGAATAAATAATCATTTAACTCGACTACTAAATGCAAACCCCATGTTATGATAGTTTCGAAACTATATCTTATAATCTTATACATCATTTGCTTGTCTATCCCAAAGGAAAATCACAAGTCCCTCTTCTCCCCAATACAACCCCCCGCCCCAACCTAAAAACTTTAGGAGTCTAAGCCCCTGTTTGACCACCATGGGGGAATGTGTTTTGGAATAATTATTTTTTGGAGAATGCGTGGTTAAAAAATAAGGAAATGTTTTAGATTTACGTGTAAAACTATTTTATAGGAGAATGTGTGGTTGAAAATGAATTTTGAAAAAATGAGTTTTTGGAAAAATGGAGCCCAAATAGGGGATAAATGCTTCAAGTCATTAATGTTAACATGAGTGATGCTCGTTGTCCTTGTTCATTTTTTGGTTTTCTGTTGTTTTTTTTTCCTTTTTTTGGAGTATTACTATTTTCAGTTTTATTTCCATTAGAAAATAACCGGTGAAAAGAATAACATCAGTTGATTGATATCATGCTGGAGTCGAAATATTGGAAATATCTGCCATAACAAGATTCAAGAAACCAATGTTAATAATCTCATCATTGCAAAAGTTCATAACAAGCAAACACAAGCTGACAAGCAGCACTGACGGAACTAAGAAAAGGGAAACTTTTATGTAGATTTAAACTAGGAAAAAATTATATAAAAGGCCAAATTTGGCAAATCATAAATGACCCACTAAATGGCTTTAAAATTTAGAGAAGTCTAAAACCTCGGTCATCATGAGTAAACACAAGAAACAAGCGCAAACAAGTTCTTTGCCAAAATATTTAGCGCGTATAGTAGAATTAAAAATAGGTATCCTCTATCAAACATTGGGAACCTGCACAACAACAAGCTTTTTTGAATGGAAGTGGCATGCCATTTGCTTTGCAGTTCAATGGTGTACCTTTTTATTTATAGTGAAAATTCTAAAGATTCAAAAGAAATTATTTAAGCTTACATTTAGAATCGATGGTTCCGGCGGTGGACAATGGATTGGTTGATCATTGTCAAGAGGCTCGGTTGGGTATTCAACTGGCTTAAACTGAACTGCAACTTCAATCCCGTGGGTCGCAGTAGAGGCAGCGGTTGCTATAGTAACAGCAGTAGCCTCAGAACTCGGGGGCAATACTTCCCTTTGATCCTGCACATCAAGAAAAGTAACCATGAACATACAAGCAGTTATCACAAGTTTACAAATCCGACATGTAAACCCAGAAAGAATTCAAAAATAATGTCTCTGGATTGATAAAGGAAAAATTGTTATAATTCAAGGAATTAATATGTACTGAAATGGTGAAAGAAGAATTAAAATTTTGATTACACTATCAAGCAAAGAATAGTATTCATACACAATGCCTGATTATTCAATTTATAATCAACATAGTATTATCATTATCAAGAACAGAATCAAGTGCTCAAGGGGAACCTAGAAAGATGAAGAAAAGAATGGAAGTGATAGCAATCCTTTGGTCACAAAATGCAAACAATAATTCTGTAAATGTCCTATGAAATTACGCTAATTGAATGTTTCCATCATCGGAATCAACACTAACCACCGTAAACATTAATGCTTATTCTTTCAAATAATTTGCGTTGACTTTCTTAATTATGGTTTGTCTCCCAACAGAATTAGGGATTACGTCCAAAGAAAAGTCATGACGGTTGAAGGACACAAGCTTTTGAACAATTTATAGTTATTCAAAGGTTCAATAATTAGTGCAGCCAGTTGGGTCCTTCGTGACAAATTGGACCATCGTAAATGGAACAAGGCTAGAAGCAGCACTACTTGGACGGTTTCACCGCAAGGGGTACATTGTTGCCTTATCTTTCCCTGCTCTTTATTTTATTTCCTTAGATGAATAATATGTATTAAGGAGGGCCATTTTAGTCAGATAATAGAATTTTAAGAAGTAGGGTTTTTATGATTGGTTTAAATCTAGATTCTTGATTCTCAGTTAGATCACCACCATATTCAAATCTTGAAGGTGTCTTGCAGTAGGGATGATTCTTGTAGGAAACAAGCATTGGAGTTGTGTTATAATTACTTGAAGAACAATACAAATAGATGATCTTTATTCCAATTTGAGATCAAGGAAACTCTTTTAAAAGCAAGAATTAGCTTAAATTCAAGTTACGAAGAACTTGAATCAAATCAGATATTAATCAAAATAAAAACAGAGAATATTTTATCGACTAATTCCAAACTTTTGAGTTCCACCTAAATCTAGTGTACTATCTTTATGCAATTGTCTGAGTGTTTGTGCAAATGTTAAAATGTCTAACTCATAGTATGAACATAACAAAATCTGCAAAAAACAATGGATCGAAGATGAACAAAAATTGAATTACAGAACCTATTCTGCCCATTTTATATTTTATATAAGAGATCATAAACTTACAACCACATTTTTTCTCCTAATTCTGGGCAATGAAACAGGTTAGTTCAGCAAGCCTTAAGTCCTCTTTAGATGCCATCACCAAAACTAATACTCAACTAGTTCTAACAACGTATTTTAAATAGTCGAGTTCATTTTATAAACAAGTTCAATTCATCGAAAAGATGTAAAAATCGAAATATGGATCAGACTCAGAACCAAGAATTTCCACAGGTTTTCACAATCTCAATCAAAATAATATGCAGAGATCAGAGAGACTCTAAGAATAAATCAAACCCAAGCCGAAACCTAAACATATCTGAAAAATAAATCTTTCCAACACAACCCAGGAAAAATAGCAAGAAAAAAACAAGTAAACCAATTAAAGAAACGAACCCTTCAATCCAGATCATAAAACACTATAAGAAATTGAAGAACTAAATATTACATCAAGAAGATATGGGAAAGATGGTTCTTACGAGTGCACTTTGAGTCCGTCGATGCCGAGCTTTAATGATAGAAAATCTTGAGAAAATTCCCACCATGTTTCAGCCTATTGACCTTCAAAAACACAGCTAAAATATTTCAGTTTCTCTCTCTAGAATGTAGAGAGGGAATGTGGGCTTATGGGGAAGACGATGAGTTTTTGCTTGTTGGTTTGGTTTGGATTCTCTGCGTCTCCTTGTGTGTATTTAGAACTTTTTTTTTTTGGTTGAAGCTAAATTACACCGTTTGAGCCACATTATTCTCCCAATGATGCATTTTAAAAAGTGTTTTGATGGAAAATATATAATTAAAAAATAAGAAAGTTTTTTGAATTTGAATATAATATTATTTTGTTGAAAAATATGTGATTGAAAATAACTATAAATGCAATAGTAACCAATGAAATATTATGGGTAATTGGCGCAAAGCGTCCTTACTTTTGACGGGTTTTGTGCAAAATGTCCTTACGTTTCATTTTTTGGCGCAGAACGTCCTCACCTTTCACATTTTTGGTGCAAAACGTCATTTTTCTCAATTTTTG